TAAAACAATTTTTTTTTTACTGATGATATTCTTAACAATACTTTGTATTTCATAAAAACCTATTTTTCTTTGAAAAAAAATTTTTTTTTATTTTCGCTATATACACTTTACATTGTCTACCAAATCTTCCCAGGGTAAGTTTTATAATAAAAAAAAGTCCACCAAATCTTCCCACTGTTTACGGTGGGACAAAAATACTATAGAAATAGACAAATAACTGATCTTTATTTAAATTTTTTTTTAGAATAATAAATAAACATATATATATACATATATATATAAAATTATAAAACAAACCAAACCCAAGTACTGAAACTGTTTAATATATTCTAGTCTTTAGTCTTATAGTTTTTGTTTTTTATTTTCAAATTAGAATCAAACTTATAAACGCAATCTGTGCCAACATGATTATGGGTATAAAAACATTAATGGTTCACAAAGACATGAAGCTCAAAACAATAGAGGCGGAACAGGGTGGAAGAAATTTGTTCTAGTTATCATGAAGCTTGCATTTGTTCAAGTATTTGGAAGTTATATATATAAAAACCAGAAAGTGGAGGAGGAAATAAAAGTTATGTATAAATAGGAGCACGTGTAAACAATAATAATTTATAATAATAATTTTTAATTTTACATTAATTTCTTCACCAAGTTATACTAATTATGTTTAATAATTATTACTGGAATAAAATACACATTCTTGCTGGATTGTAATTAAAGTCTTCCTTTATTACTGGTAGGATCAGAGCCTCAACTGGTGGCAACAACTGAACTTTGGAATGGGAAATATTATGACGCAATGCATAATTCATGAAATTTTAATTATGTGTGATACAATTCATAATTTTGATAACATATATAGTAAGAATATACTTCACGTCACCAACTATATGTCTTGCATCACAGATTATACCTGCGTCACAATTTGTTATGCTAATTATTAATAAATAAAAAGAAAAAACATATGTTAAATTAATAATAGCAAACATACAACATATTTTACAATGAATTATTTGTTTTCTTTTATAGTTATCCTAGTGGGTTTAGCTATTGATTACTTTGCTGACCGTTTGTGTCATGTGATTTTCTAGTATTGTGACACCAAAAATAGTGTGTCATTAATTTGAGATGATCAACAAGGGGAAATTTTTTAATAAATAAATTAGCAGTAATGGGCACACCAAATTCAAATGTGATGGTAGTTTTGGTTTAATAAAAAAACTCTATAGGAAAACAAGAGTAGATTGTCTGAATCATGTGGTTGAGGTGATAAAAAAGTCTAGTCCAGCAGGATTGAATAAAGCTCAATGTTATGAGGGTGGAAAAGGTTTTCAGTACTTAGATCTTAAAGCAATTTTGGGAATTTATTTTAAGAAATTACCAAACATCCAGAAATATCAACATTTTCTTTTTGAAGCAACTAATCTTGGTATGGTCAAAGCCCAGGAGATTGCTAATGGTTCTTTTACTGAATTCAATTTATTGAAAACTAAGACAAAAGGCATTTGTGAAGAAATTAGAACTTTATCTATTTTAGTGTTAACACCACCTCCTTTGGATTACAAAAGGCAAGAATATCTTTACCAGAATATTCGCCCATTTGTGAAAGATGAATACAAAGACATTACTTGTCCAAGACCATTCTATACTGGCAACAAATAAAATATTTAGAACAAAAACACCTCCATTACTTTATCACTTATTAATTTGTCTCTTGCTGTTATTAAGTTTAATAAGTTTAATCTTTTGTTAGCTTTTAAAGTAAAAAAGTACTAAAATAATTTATATACTTAATATGCCCATAAAAAGGATATAAGTATATTATAAGAATAAAAAAAAAAAAGTAAAATCATGACAAACCAGGAAATAATTTTAACCAAAGAGGAAATAAGAGAACTAATTGGTAGTTTAAACCAAAATCCAGATGAAATAGAGATAAGAGCAGTTATAGATTATTTTTGACTTCGCCCTTATGCATTAAAACACTTAGAAGACAAAGAATTTAGAAAAAGTTTTGTTCGCCTTATTTACATGCATAAAAATGCAGTGAATTGATGAATAAAAGCTGATAAAGAAGTTAAAAGTCTACAGCCACTAACATCTAGTTTAGAGAAAGAGAGGAATGAATTGCTTGAAAAAATTAAGGAATTAGAAGCAAGAGTAGAAGAAAAAGATAACATAATAGAGAATTTAGAAGAAAGAGTAGACATGGAAGTTGAAATGAACTTGAAAGCACTAGACAAGTCCAAAGAATATCATGATAGAAATCTTTTCTTATTGGGAATGTCAAAGGACACTATTATAACCAATTTGAAATTAAAAATTCAAGAGTTAGAGAAGAACCAAAAAGTAGACAGAGTAAAACAATTACGAAAATTAGAAAACAAAGCCAAAACAAAAGTTAAGGAAAGAGTTAAAAAACTTAAAGAAAATGTTAATACAATCAAAGAAAATGTTAAAGAAAAGTTCAACACTTATATTTTACAAAACAATAAATAACTATGAAATTAGAATACAGAATTTTAAAAATAGCAAAGGATAGCATAGAGAGTTGCAATTATTGCCCATTATATGTTCATTATGGAGAAGAAATTACTTTCACTCCTGCTACCCATGAAATAATGGCATATGATAACAATGGAGACTGTGCTGATATTGCTTCCATCTGTGATAATTGTAAAAAAGATTTTGAAAACAATAATCTTTCTTATTGTGAACTTTGTGGCAGATTACAAAGAAATAGGAGAGGTTGTTATTGTAATCTATTGAAAGATGGAAAATTTAGAACACTTTCTGCAGAGGATGGAACTTCCCAAACTATCAAATCTCGTTTAGCAAAGGAAACCAAAGAACTTGAAAGGAAATTGAAAACTGCCAAGGAGGAGTTGAATGTTGAAAGAGAAGAAGTAGCCAAGTTTCAGGAAAAATCAGAAGAGTGAAGTAAAAAGCAAAAACAGGAATTATTGAATAAGATAAAGAGTTTAGAAGAAAAAATTAAGAAACTAGAAAAGGAAAACAGGAAATTAAAAGGTCAACAGAATGGTCAATTAACTGCTCAAATTGAAGTCAAAGAGACTAAAAGATGATCTTGATTGAAAATAAAAAAGT